TTAAGATTAAAAATAGCTGTGGCAATTCACTGTAACAAAAATGCATTAACCACATTTGGCGTTATTATCGCTCAAAAAAAGATGCCAAATTTCAATACGCGAAAATATGTAAATTCGTGTATATCTTCGAGAATTTTGAATAAAAAACTCTAATTTTTTGCAGGTATGTTTAGAACTACACCTACTTTAAGACGATGGTAAAAGTTTTATTGGTTATTATTCAAAATCTTTTCGAAAAATTTATAAAAATTATTTAAAAATACAAATTTTAAAAATAAAACACAAAAAATGGGTAAATTTTATTTGGAATGAACCTAAATTTCGAAATGTGAAAGGAAAAATCAAAAAAGTTTAATAAAAAAAAGAGATATTAATAAATATTTGCCAAATTCAATTAACATTGAGGAGCTAAATTTGAGAGCTAATATTTTAAAAAACTATCGTACGATTTTTACAAAACTTGGCATTCTGGCATAATTTGAGTTGTAGAATCGAAATATGGAAAAAAATTGGTATATTATTTCAGAAAAAGTCCGATTTTGTGTCAAAATACCTATGTTAGAATAGTGATATATATAAACCTAATATATATCCCAAGTTGTGCTTTCGAGACATGAAAAACGCAATTTGAATTTTGTCAATCGGCCCAGTAGAACGGGAGATATAGAACTGTCCCATTTTTTTTAGCAGTGTACATATATACATACGTACCATATATATTTTTTTACCTGCAGCAGAGGTAATTGTGCTATATATAGTGTAAGGTGCCCACTCGTTTGAAGAAGTGCTGAAAAAGAAATATACATACACACAGAGTGCAAGCTAACTATATATGTGCACCTTAAAAAATTCAACTATTTCAAATGATAATGGCATAATTCTTATAATATTTACTCATAGCTTTACGTATTCAGAAAAAATGACACAATTGATAATTTACAGTTTTGATGCATTAAAAATTTCCCTATTGATAAATGGCAAATAACATTGAAATAATATAAATTGTAATGCAATTAATACAAAAATGTATTGCATTAATCTTTCAAGTTTTTTTTATAATTTATTTTTTTCATGCTTTTATCGAAACAAAATTGTCAATATGTTTTTCAGAAAATTTACTTAATCACTTTATTCATGTTCTGAAACAGAATGACGTTATTTAAAAGTTTCTCTAATTTAAGTGAAGATTTTGTATAGCCTTTTATTATTTTAAAGTTGCTGACTTTTTTTTTACCATTAACAGAGCGATTGGTAAAATTAAACAAAATGGTAAGAAAAAATAGAACACTTCTTTTGTTACAGAAGAGAAAATTCAAATCGAATATAACTACTCCATTTCGACCACGATAAAACTTTATTACATGGTTCAAATTTTTTTTTTGGCGGGCCCTCAGCCGACTTCGGCTTGCCACAGCAGAGGCCAGAAGTAGTGTCACTATTATGGAAATATCTAACAGATGAGCCACTTTTGCCTCCTATTAAGAAACGGTTAGCTATAAAGCTATAACGATGTCTTCTCCGGAATTCGAACCCAGGCTCTTTACTATCGCAATCTGCTTTCCTAACCACTATACCATCTGGGCAGCAGGGTTTAAATAAAAAGAGAAATATGCCAATACATAATTTAAAATTAGGCAAAAAGGTAACCTTATTTTGCCGTAGATTTCAAAATCTACGCCTAACCAAGGATTTTTTTCTTGATTTTAAATAAGAGCTACTATATCTTAGGTTAAATAAGAAATACATCAAACTAAAATGGATACAAGTCTAAACACTGAACCATATAAGTCTCATTTAGTGGCAAATTTTACACGAATAATGAAGCGAAAGGTTGACAATACGCTGCATTTCATTTTGAAACATCTTTATTTAGTCTCTTAATGCTGTTCCAACGAGATATTATGTGTCAGATATGCTGCAAAAAATTGCACACTTTCCATATTTGTTTAGGGGACTTCGAGCATTACATCAAGCGTAAATTCAAAGAATGAATTTTGATATTGAAAAATGATAATTTGCCTTTTAAATTGAATTTCAGATTTTTCATAACTAATCTGGCACTCCTTCTAGTAGTTCACTAGAGGCAAGTGTCTCATTTGCCTCACCCTTGTCCCGGCCCTGTTTCGTTTCATAATAAAATTAAAGAAATCAGCTTTTAAAATGAAATTCCCAGAAAAAATGTATATACACTTATAAAATGTGAAAAACGAGTAATGGCACGGCAGCTTTCACTGTAAACAGTTTTAAATGATAATCAATCGTTAAAAATCTCTTGTTTTTGAGATTCCCGCAGAAGCGGGATACGCGTATTATCCACGGATAACGGACATTACTGTATATGCAAAATGTAAAAAATAATACAGATTGGTAAAATAACAAGGCCAGCGCGCGCTAAACCTAATTAAAACATCACTTTTGGATATGCTGGAATTTTATAAAACAAACTGAATATTTTTGAAAATGTGCTTTTTGATACCTATGAGGGGGAGAGAGAATAGATAATAAAAGCAGTTTAAGACTGGAAGTGAGTATTCAGTTTCGGCATAGAGAATTAACGCTGTATGTCTAACGGAAGGAGTATCTTCGTGAACGCTGTATGTCTAACGGAAGGAGTATCTTCGTGGAAGATTTCTTTTTTTAAAGAAAACTGGCTGGCATTTCTACAGCTACATGGAGAAAACCAAAAATGAAAACTGTTCCATGAAAACTCTGTTGAACCGTTAAAATCTAACTGAAACTGAGTTTACCAATATTTTGCTATTTTGACAAACTGGCATGAATTAATGAAAGGGCATGAAATTAATTATACCACTTTTAACTTCTTGTCTTCAGTTCTACTACATAACATGCTAATGAACACCTTTTTTAATAATACGACACTTTTATTTGTTTGACATTTACATATAAAACAACATAAAAAACTACACATTGTGAAGGAGGTAGACATAATATTTCAAGAGCAAATCTCAAAATTCAAATGAGGATTCGCGAAAAAATTAAAAAAAAAAGTATTAAATCAAATCAGTTACTAAAAAAAAAAAAAAAAAAATGAAAATGTACGTCAATCTACTTCCGTTGCACAGTGATCATACAGTACTAAATCCGCAATGGGCTTAGGTAGCCTACTAATGAACCAGAATGTAAACCGAGAAAATAATGTTCCCGGATTATAAAAGTATTTAGGATTAATGGCCATGACAGCTTCTTCGAGACAATCCACAACTTGTTGAGGCTTGTCGCTGATCGAAAACGTAATAAATTTTATGGTACTTTTCAAGTAACGCTTCAAGTAGTCTTCCGGAAAATATTCCTTTATTTCCTGGGGAGCATTTTCCCAAGTTTTGGTAACATATTTCACAATGGTGTCTTCGTTCGTGATAGGCGTCCTAAAGGCAAAAGATAGGCAAAAGAAAGTTTTAAATGTGAATGAAAATAAGTTACATTTATATTAATTTGCAGCATTCTATTTATTAGTTAGTTTATTTGCCAGTTTGGCATCAATTAGATAAATATAACATAGATATGACATACTGAATATTTTGAAGTTTATAACCCACATTTCACAGCCTTTAATCTTTCATATAACTAGCATTAGAAGTAAAAAAGAAACTATTTATATTATCCTAAACCTAGAGCAAGTTTATGATATTAAAAGAAGATATAAAAATATTTGAATATGTTTTCTTAATAAAATATGTTGAATATTTGTGCCAGTATTTTGTTCAAAGTGGCGCATTTTACGCTTTTCACTGAAAGCGCATCTACTTGATTGATACATTTTAAAACGAATTATATAACCGCGAAATAAACCCCAAAATAGTTTCGTCGATATTAGTGTCTATCTTAGTCCTCTGGAGGCTTTGTTGGTAATGAAGACCCTCATATTTAATCAACTAGGAATGTGGTTTCCAAACTGTGCGTCGAAAACAAGTTTTGGTACGTCGCCGAGCATTTTAAGGTTTCGTTTTGCTGAATGTATATACATGTAAGATGTAAAATATAAAAACTATTAATTTTGATTTATTAATAGTCCTTTTGATTCTTCATTTTAATTTGACTGTTCTCTTCTTGTCTTAAAATACTAATATATGAATCTAAAGTGCGTCATCTGAAAATCAATCCGTATTACGCCATTATGTAATCGCGGATACTTTTTATCCAATCGCAGTAAAAAATTTGAACAAAGGAATCAAGTCTATATATACCGCTATTACTGCTTGCGCAGCCCTTTTTTTCCTGCTTCATTCGCTCCTTGCAAATGTGTGTTTTAACACATAATTTGCCGCTTCGCTTCGTTCATTGTATAAACATGTGCTAAGGAACACAGAAACTCTGTGTGAATATCGCACCCATAATGATATGTAAACAAGAATATGTATCCTAAGAATTAATTTTCAAGAAATAAAATGATGTTCATTCAAGAAATAAAATGAACGTGTTGCAAATACGCAACACGTGTGTCTTTAAGTAACTATGCAGTTAAGCCTCCAAGTTTTTACAACACAAAGAACTATCGCCAATCCACAGCAGCTATTCCCAGTTCATTCCATTACAATCAGGCGCAGTTTTAGTACAAAATGCTACCACACATACACACTACACATACTAATTTTTTTTTTATATTATTATTGCTTGCAATAAGATGTGGATTGTTTTATGATTCGCAAATACGCATTTTTAACAGAATTTCATGAATATAAAAGAAGAAATTTTTTTTTTTTTATATTCACTACAACAGGTTTTACAAAAGACTTTCAAGACAAGGACTATGAAAATTACATCATGATAGTCAAGCGATGATTTCCAAAAATTGTGAACTTTTACGTTTATTTCTTGAAAAAATTAGGATAAGCTTTATAATATTTTCAGGCTGTGGGGGGGGGAGAGAAGAACTTACAGACTTCTAAAATTGGACTGAAAATTTTAAATCTCTAATATTATCATGAGGACAGCAGACCTGCTGTTATATAATTAAGCTATTATTGCGTGTTCTCTAGAAGAAAAAAAACTACTATCTGTACACTATGGTTAAGGTCTAGAAGGACATTACATAGCATTCAAGGCTTCTGAAAGAAATACATTGGAATCCTCTGTTGCTGCAACTGAACAATATATCATAAGTTTAAAAGTTGCGTGGTAACAAATTGTAGGATTATTTACATTAGTTTCATAAAATCACATACTGTGGATTATATGAACATATACTGTGGATATGTTCATATACAAATATATACAATCAAATACTGTATATTATACGTATATTATAGATATTATAGGAACATTTTACAGAATATAATACAGGAATATTTACATTCTATTTATAAAATAGAGTTTTTGATAATGTGAAGATATATGAGCTTTACAGATTAAACGTTACGTCAGAGTGAGCAATGTACCTCGTTCTCATTTAGGAGTAATACGCTGTGCGAAATGCAAAAATATTGTCAGCATTAGTATTATACGCACTTAAGAACTTTTTTTAAACCTTTTTCCTTTTCAGTAATCGAGCTCTTCAGATCTGAAGATTATTTTTAGAGGGTTCTGAGAGATGCATATCCTGTGTTAGGGTGCAATCATGTAAGTAATGTCTCAGATTGCTTACATTAACACAGAAGCATTGGTCTCAGTATTCTAAGGCGAAACCTATGCACATAGGCTGGTGTAGGGCAGTGTTCAGTGTACAGTTGGGTCAGCATCGAACTTTCTGATTTTAGGGTTGGCGAGATTAGTAGGAGATAGTAGTCATGGGTGATACGCCCCCTTGCCTCTGTATCCCATTGTTTTTGAGAGTTGTTGTCCGAATTTAATTTGAATTTTCTTTTTAGTGTTAACTCGGTAAAGAATATGTCCCTGGGAACGTGAATCTTGTTGCTACCTTTGCCAACATGTTCACCTTTTTGTTTCCCTTGTGACCTACGTGGGCTTTGGTCCACTGATGGAGAGCGAAACCATCACTACTAAGGAGAAATTCCCTAACAGCATATACCAGTTCACTCTTAGAGGCGCCAGCACGCTTCAATACTAGATATGCTGTCTATGCATACAACTGAAGTTTTTATCGGCAGCCCACTTTAGTGCTTTGAGAATTGAAAATAATACTGTTTAAAAGACAGAATTAAGACTTCTTTATCTATTTAACAATTGAAAAGTATAGTTATTCATCATTTTTGTACAGAAGGCATTGATTGTTCCGTCCTCAGGTTTTGAACAATTTGGTATATGTATATATATATATTAAGGTGGGTTGTCCCTTCTGCTTTGTCACTTATACTCTTAGTTATACTATAACTAAGAGTGTATTATATATAATACACTCTTAGTTATATCGTGCAGGATTGGTTTTGCTGATGGTACTGTCTTCTCATAGCCAATGTTCAGGTATGTGGCATCATATGTGATTACGTATACTCTTAATCTTAAGACTTTTGCCGATATGCCCCGTTCTAGCGCTAACATATTTAGTGGTTTGAGGTCTGCAAGGCTGAGTATTGCAGTATTGCGTTTGTCGGCCAGTTCTATATGCTCTGGTGATTAACAGGGTTATTCGCCTGTATAGACTGAGAATTTTTTCTGACTTTATGGCATTTAACGTGGTACACCAAACTGATGCTCCATGGAAGACTGCTGGCACTGTCACCGTGTGATACAACATCTGCGTTCTGAGGAGATGCCTCAGGTTTTCCTTGTCATCCGGAGCAGACTGCTGTACTACCAAGATGTTTTATCTTTCAAGTATTCTATATGCGGAATCCAACTGAATTTATCATCTAAAATGATATTTTAACGTTTTGCTTATCTTGACTGAGTGCTCTTTAATTTTGAAAATTAATACCACTAAAAATCTAAGCTTCACATTCTGCTGCTGCTTATAAAATTCGAAATCATTCAGGTCTTCAATCAAAGTGTCTACGCTTTCCCAAGTCTGGAGACAAACTTCTGCCAACCGGTACAATCTGTGCGGCTCCTAGATTCTACAGCCCACTTATCTTCTTAAATTCTAAAAACCTGTATCTGTTTTTTAAAGCATTTGCACCCATATATCGAAATTCAACAGAATAATCTTGAAATTTTTTAAAATTTTAATTTTAATCCTAAATGTTTTCTTACACTGGAAAGAACAGAAACATTACAAATGCATTTGAAATCATGCATAGCAATCAAAATGCGAATCTAAATTTATTCATCGAAAATATTATCACTTTTTAATGTTCACGTCGAAATTAAATTACAACTCAGTTTTAGCATGTAGATTTCTTTGATGCTAAGGCAGACATGCATCCACAGCAAACGCAATCTGTATTTTGATTTGCACTGTCAAATGATTTTCAATATTATATTCTACTTACTTGTACATCCAGGGCTCAATAGTGATGGCTTTAATTCCAAATCGATACATTTCCAATCTCAAACCATCACAAAAACTGACAGTAGCTTGTTTGCTCATGCAGTACGGAACCATTCCAGGATATGTGTACCTTCCTGAAATACAGAGTTACATGAAATGAAATGAGAATAACCTAGAGTAAATACTAGAAGAATGTATTGATTAGTTATACTCATAAGGGCATATAACCAGCCCACGCTCAGAAGCAAATCTCGTCATCAATGTGTTAAACGAACACATTTTCCTTAAACAGCTATACCACAGGCATAGCAATTCTAATTAATATAAAGAAGCAAAATATCTTTTAGAGAATTGAGTAAAGTGAAGGGAAGAATATTTTGTAGCATGTTCAGGTATCTGCAAAACAATTCAGAATATTCACTTTCTTGCTTCCTGCAGTCTAAGAAGTGAACCATAAATAATGTTTGATAATAGTTAAGTTTCGAACACACAAAATTTGAAAAACATATGTTTAAGTTAATTAACAATAGCCACATACAGAAAGATTGTTTCTCTAAGGAAATTAGAAACCATTTTATTTGGATTTAAAATTGAAAATGAGATAGGAGCAATTACATTTTTCTTATTAAACATAGTTACCAGTAATTATCCTAACTTAAATTTAGAGTTCAATACAAATTTATGAAAAATAAACTCACATTTTTAAAAACTCAATAATTATTTCATTGGAGTTAAATATAAGTGTTCACAACTGAATTAAAGAAAATTTATATTCTAAGTTTCGTGTTACATTAAAATGAATGACGTACTATTATTACTATACATTTTAATAGATGCTAAGTTATTATTCAGAGCGGCATTTTTTTAACTGACACGTTATTTATTCCAGTTTGTAATTTTTGCAATTGAATGTTACTTTAGGAACTGCAAATCATTATATTACTACGTAAAGGATTAATATATAATGAACTATTTTATTTATATAGGCCATATCACAAGGACCTTCCACTTTTAGGGCGTCAAAAATTTAATGTCTTTTTTAGAGCTTAATAAAGAGAAAATTTTTTTTACGACAAAAATTTATCAATTCTATTAAATTCATTAAAAAATATTAGTTACATTTATATACAGCGTGTTCATAAAAGATGCCTACAGACTTCATTTCCTTAAACGTTCATCCTAAACACGTAATTCCGATTACAAAATTTCTTAAAATAAGTTTCTCAAACTACATTTTTCTAAAATAAACTTTCAAAAATAATTTCAGCCTTAAGGTAAGGTAATTCTGCAAAAAGTAAAATCTAACTAAAATTTAACTTTTTGTATGCGCTTCGCAAAACAAAAATCGAAATGAGGGCTTAACAAGTTAATTTTAAAACGTTTTACATGTCTACGCGGATACATTAGTAGCTGTCTATATCAGTTGAATCGAATATTGTAATAACGATTTGTTTATAAAAATAATTTAAAACAAATACTTTTCTTTGATTACTTCATGTACAGAAAGAAACAAATTTAAGAGTTTTTTTTTGAATGATATATCAGCTTCTCTAATAAAGCAAAGGAAATAATTATTATAAGTTTTTTAAACTTAAGAGTTAATGGGATAAATATATTCTTTGAGGATATACATTTAATTACAGCAACCAATTATTTCAATATTAAGTAATCCTTATTTATAAAATAATTAGAATTTTAATTGCGATATACACACGTGTTTTGTTCGGTGTGCTGGATGAGCAGCGGAAGTTTCAGCTTAGAACCTCACTGATCTTAAATCCAGCCTGCATACTACATAATAAATTAACTGAGAATAGCTTCATTTCTGAGCCACTTATTTCCCAGAAGAAATTAGTTGTTAAATGTATGTTACATAAATTAATGCAGCTGTAATGAAATATAATATTTTGTCCTTATGTAACAAATAATAACTTTTATTTATTGACTAATATTTTCCAGCTTTCTTGAAATGTAAATTTACATATACGAATATTTTCAACGTTTCAGATTATAAGTATTTTAGTTTAACTTTCATATGCTTTTGTCATACAAAGTAAAAATTAATGATTTATCAATTATTTCGTAACTTAAGCCAATAGAGGTTTATCTTCCCAAGAAAATAATGTATTTGCTAGTGCTTAATACACATAGGGTCTGGAGATCTGGCTGGCCAACTAATCTGGTTAGTATTTTAACTTTCCAAAAAGCATCATCCATCAGATTAGCTCTATGTAGACGAGCGTTGTCATTTATAATAATGAATTGGAGGTCATATAACATTACACTGAAGTGACAAAAGTCATGGGATACCTCCTAATATTTTGTTGGTCCTCCTTTTGCCCGGCGAAGTGCAGCAACTCGACGTGGCATGGACTCAACAAGTCGTTGGAAGTCCCCTGCAGGAATATTGAGCCATGCTGCCTCTATAGGCGTCCATAATTGTGAAAGTGTTGACGGTGCAGGGTTTTGGGCACGAACTGACCTCTCGATGATGTCCCATAAAAGTTCGATGGGATTCATGTCGGGCGATCTAGGTGGCAAGATCATTCGCTGGAATTGTCCAGAATGTCCTTCTAACCAATCGCGAACAATTGTGGCCCGTTGACATGGCGCATTGTCATCCATAAAAATCCCATCGTTGTTTGAGTACGTGAAGTCCATGAATGGCTGTAAGTGATCTCCAAGTAGATGAAGGTATCCATTTCCAGTCAATAATCGGTTCAGTTGCACCAGAAAACCGAGTCCATGATATGTTAAAACAGCCCAGACCATTATGGAACCACCACCAGCTTGAACAGTGCCTTGTTGACAACTTGGGTCCATGGCTTCGTGGGGTCTGCGCCACACTCGAATCCTACCATCAGCTCTTACCAACTGAAATCATGACTCATCTGACCAAGTCACTGTCCTATCGGACACGTCCCTTGTACGTCCCACATTGATTTCTGCGGTTATTTGATGCATTGTTGCTTGTCTGTGAACATTCACAACTCTACGCAGGCGTCGATGGTCTCGGTCGTTAAGTGCATGTGGTCGGCCACTCCGCTGTTCATGGTGGGATGTTATGCCTGAAATTAGGTACTCTCGGCACACTCTTGACACTGTGGATCTCGGAATGTTGAATTCCCTAACGATATCCGAAATGGAATGACCGATGCGTCTAGCTCCAACTACCATTCCGCGTTCAAAGTCTGTTAATACCCGTCGTGCGGCCATAATCACGTCAAAGCCTCTTCACATGAATAACTTGAACACAAATGAAATGTATAATGTATAAATGCACTTCAAATGAAAATTCGCATTTATAAATTTTCTACGCAATACTTCTGCCATCTGTATATTTGCATATTGCTATCCCATGACTTTTGTCACTTCAGTGTATAAGCTCGAAAATTCGGCTGTATAAACATAAGAAATCGGATTATTCCAACTAACTGATGTGAAGCTACCTCGGATAACCGTTTTTTGGTAACCTAAAATTAACTATTTTTGTAACTTAAAGGCAGAAATAATTACCTAAAACATTAAAAAAAACTGCATCACACTATATTTATGTGGCTCTATTTCAATATATTTGCATATCAATGTTTCACGTAAAAGAATGAGTGACTCTCCCACATGATTGCAGCAAAGTGTCCACTAAATCATACTATGATAATAATCTGTTACATATTAAATTTAGTTACCGATTATAGTAATCTTCCTATGGAATATTTTAGTAGATAAACAAAATTCTGCAGTCTCTAAGAAGATTGAAGTTTTAAAAAATAATTTAAATAAGCATTTAAAAGCGAATTTATACATAATTTTAATAAATAAATAAAACATTTCACATATCCTTAAATAACACATTATTTAAGAGTGAATGGCAATCAAAGAGGACGCTTAACTGCATAAATTTGACAGTCTTACCAGCGGCACTTGCCACAGCTACAACTCTTCCTTTGGATTTGCATAGTAGTGGCAGAAAAGCCTTTGTTACTCGCACAACACCAAATGTGTTAACTTCTAACACCTTCTTAATCACTTCCATGTCAGTCCACATAAGTTCAGCACCTTCGTTGAGTCCAGCATTATTTACCACTGCCCATAACTCTGAAATGTTTTAACAAACATTTATTAAATAAAACTATATTAAAATAAATTAAAATTATACGGTAAATAAAGTTTTCCGGGCAAATAAAGTAGTTCTTATTCTGAACAGTAGTAAGTAACCAGTAGAAGTTCAGTGATTCTGCGCTACAAACACAGAATGATTGAACCGAATTACTTTACTTAATAATAGCAAAAGTATACTAAGATATATATTTGCCTTCGCCTTTTGATCAAGAGTACTCTAGCAAAGGGATCAGAGGATCTTCCCTTATGAAAATGTCTTATAGAATTAAAAAAAAATTAATATTTAAATTCTGTGGAATCCTTGAGAACTATGCCTAATTTTCTGTAAACTAGATCAGAGGTTTTCCGTAGAATTCTGTAAAAGTTTAGATATAGCTTCTATAGATTTATGTATAAAGATTCTACAGAGATTTTTGCGAATATTTAAGAAAAATTATATATAACTTTTAATGGTCCCTCGCGCAGAATCTTATTTATATGCACAGAATCAACTAACAAAATTCTACTGAAAATCAGGCCCATTTTTTAGAAAATTAGATTATTTTTTATAGAATCCTGCAAGACAAAATTACTACAAATATTTTGAGAGTTTTTAAAAGGTTTCCTTGCTTTTATAAATATTTAAAGCAATTAATCTCCTTTCTTTAATTGTCTAATAAAGCTCTTAGACAAGCTTTTGAGTATTTAAAAGCTTTAGGAAATGAAAAAAAATCTTTTAGTTAAAAAAGAAGGCATTAAATTTTTATTTTCAGATAGAACTTTTTAATATTGTTTAAATTTTGATATGATCTGTGATATGTAGGGGAAGGTGGATTTGGAACAGATGTGCTCTTCTCTAGTAAAAATTTTAATATGGTTTTGATTTCAAGAATATTTAAATCAATATTTAAATAAAAATAAATACATTTTAAATGATACTTAAGTTCATTAAAATTAAGAAACCATTTCTCTGTCAGGAGTGCAAGTTTTTACCTTTTGGTTAATTTCATGATTTAAATTGGTTTTACCCATCTATAAGATTTAATTTTTATGTTATATAAGCAATACTGTTACTGTTACATCCATTTGGAAGTTAAAAAACGTTAAGCTAGAAGGTAAAAAAAAAGGCAAAATTTTCTATTCTATAATGATTCAACAATTGTGAATAAAATGTATTTACTTTTGTCTTCTATAGACTAATATAGTACAGCAAAAACTGAAACATTCTTTTGATTACAGTTTGAAAACTTTGCTGATATCTATACAATGGCATTCTGTAAAAGCTTTGTAAAATTTCGATATCATTTGAAAAGCAATATTTATATAGATTTATGCTTTATGAAAGCTTTAAAATATTTCTATAGAACTTTATAGAAACACATTTCTGTAGTGGATTGATTACCTATAAAGTTCTACAAAAATTTCTACAGAGCTTTTATTCATTTCTCCACAACATTTTCATAAGTTCCTAGGGTTTTTAATGCTGGAAATGTGAAAATGAGCAGTGGCCTCTCTGGGTTTCGAACTCCGGACCTCCCGAATACGTGCGAGTGTGCTTCCAGTTACACTGCAAAGGCATGCGGAAAAGAAGGAAGAATCCTATACACTCCCTCTTTTAAAGGGCGACTGGGAATGAGGGGATCTAATCACCAAATTTTGGTGGTGACGAATTATCGTCCACTACGTTTTAGTTCGAGCGTCACTTGTAGAGTCATCAGGTATTTCTGAAGCAGGAGATGTGAAAAATATGCAATGTGAAAAATATTTGAGAGCAGTTGCGATTGACCGTGGATTTTCTCCCGTGATTATTGATAAAGCCGTTAAAAAATTTTCAGATTCCCATCAAAGAAGACATTCCACCTGTTAGAAATAATATTAATGAGCTTGTCGTGCTTCCATTTTATCTTTCTGTTAGCTATAAAATTGCACGGATTCTCCAGAAATTCAATTTTCAAGTCGGTTTCTCCCCTATTAATAAAATTCACCCTTCGATTCTAAAAGATTGCGTTTCTGTCTTGAATTCTTGGGGAATTTATAGTATATCGTGTCAGTGTGGTTTAAGATATATTGGCCAAACAAAAAGAGCGTTGAAGTTTCGTATCAAGGAACATGAATCTTATGTCAAAAAAGGCGAAATTAACAAGTCTTCAATAGCGTATCATAGTTGGACTTTTAACCACAATTTTGATTCTGGGTCTGCAAAAATCATCCAAAAGGCTTCTTCCATAGGTGAATTGGATTTTCTTTTGAGGCTTTTCACATTCATAAAGATTTAGCAAGTTTAGTTAATGATTTGAAGTCCAATCCAGTCCTTCCTAATGCCTTTAAAATTCTACTATCTTAATTCAGTTATTTTTGCCGATAGATGGCATTACCTCCTCGCGTTTGGTACTACCAGAGGGTATAAAAATCCGTTCAGTCGTTGCTTTCCATTATTTGAAGTTCAGATTTTGAGCGTAAGGTGCATTTGCCCCTCGCTCCCTATTTTAACTTCGCTAATATTTCTTTATGCTTGATCAGATAGCCTGGCTCAGTAAAAGTAGGCGGCCAGTGCAACTCTGATTAAAAATCTAGTTATAACCACGTGCAGTGCTGATAAGGACCACGTGTTTCTGTGACTCCTTCTCCTATTTTCTTCTTATGTATTTCTTTCTCCTGATGAGGAGGGACCTTTAGCTGCCCTCGAAAATCGATTGAGTGTTTCATTATACCTACGCTAAATACAAGGTTGTTTTTTATGATTTTGATTGTCACATTAGCGTGTTTCTCTTCTATTCTAGTCTAATATGCAATGTCTTCAACGGGACTCGAATCCTAGACCTCTCGAATGCACGTCGAGTATATTCCAATTACACCATGAAGGCATGAGGAAAAGAAGGGAGAAAATACCTTACAAGCTTCCATATCATCAAATTTTAAAAGGATTTCTGGATCTACATATTTTAAGTACTCTCATTCCTCGAGGATAGTACAATTACAAATGCTTATGCTGTACGTGGATTTCAAACCCATCCCTCTCGGGTTAGTAGGTAGCCTCCACTTATTATCATAACGTACCAATTACGTTCGATTCTTTTTTATTTATTTATTTACATGCTCCGCCCTTAGGCACTACACGGAAGGGAAGGATGCCTTCGTGGAGGACTTTCTAAGGGAAACTGGCTTGTATATACGTTATACACTGGGAAAACTATGAAAACGCCCATGAAGCCAGCTCGTTTGCGGGATTCGAACCTCGGACCGAACTACGAGTGTTCAGAGACTAAAGAGCAAGAGTTATTAAGGAAGATCAACCGCAGGTGAAAGGTTTTATGTGCACATTTATGCAATACAATAAATTGCTTTAAAGGACAACAGCAGTTCTTCACAAACAGTAGATAAAAAAGAAGCAATTTTTTGGTTTCATCTTTTTGGCATGCTTTTTAGAAGTTATTGCACGGAATTTTTAATGACGTCAGCGGATGACTTTGCGAAAATATCTTGTAGAGGATGCTAAAGCTCTGTAGAAATTTATAGATAATCCTCTATAGATATGTTTTTCTATAAAATTCCATAGAAATTTTTTAAAACTTTCAGAGAGCAGTTTTATAGAAATGGTATTTTGTAAAATCCCATAGAAATTTCGTAAAACCTTTAGAAATCCTATATCTGTAGAAATTCTATAGAAATGGCATTCTATAGAAATTTTTAAACTATATTTAAAGCAAATTTTCAGTTTCTGAATGCACTGATATGGTGTACAGAAGAGGAAAAAAAATTATTCTCAAGTGCTGAATAAATTTTGTCTGTCTTGTTTTGTCTTATAATATCCTGTAGCTTAATGTTTTTAGTTTCTAAATTTAAGCAATATTTTGTGAAATGTTTTATAGACAGTATTGCTTATATAAGTGTAAAATCAATTTAAAAGATTAAATTGTGCTGTAAGTTATAAAATATAATATCTAAAATCAATATTTTTAATTATTCTATACGTACCTCTGATAAGAGAAATTGTTTTCTAACTTTAATTAAACTTATCTATTATTTAAAATGTATTTATTTTTATTTAGCTATTTTTATAAAATCGAAACGATATTGAAATTTTTTATTAAAATCAAATGAACATATCTGTTTCGAAAGTTTTATTCCTCCTCCCATGTCATAAATCAATTTAAAATTTAGTTTTAAGAGTTCTATTTAAAAATGGAAATTTTTTTTTTATGCCAAAGAAAATTTTGTTGATTTAAAATGCTTTTAAATACTCAAAAGCTTTTATAAGATCTTTTGTAGAAAATTAGATCAAAAGAAACTAGTTTAGATTTCTTTAGAATTATGACCCTATTTTCTAGAAACTAGATATGATATTTTTAGTAGAACTTTATGAGTTGATTTTATATATATTACATATTATATAAAATTCTATGCGCGGAACATATAAAAGCCGTAAAGTTTTCATATAATCTCTGCAGAAACCACTCTAGAATATCGACACATATCTTTAGAATTTCTGTAAATAACTCTATCGATGCTATATCTAAATTTTTATAGAAATGCAAAAAACATCACTGAGTTTGTGGAATACTCGACCATAATTCTAAAGAAGTTTAACATTGTATTTTTGAACAGAATTCTGTAAGACATTTATCGTAAGAGAAGAGTCCTATACCTCACGGCATTTCTTTTCGTGTCTGTAAACGCATTCCTACTTGATTTTTTTTTCTTTCATTTTGAAAGTCAATGTCCTGGTACAAACCAGAAGCGAAGCAATAGAGCAGTGAATGATAGCACGCATCACCTTCCTTGGGGGCGGGATGCACCAAAAATGTGGAAGTAATGTTGAAGTGGAGTATGATGCCCAGAGCGTAATACGTCATTCTGTAATCGAAACGTAAGTTCGATGCAAAGTACTGTCAATGTTTCATGTAATATCTGCTTTATATGCAAAGAAAGCTGTGCAATTTCCAAAATAAACATATCCATTGCAATATTTAACGATACTATATCTCAGGCTCCTACTTTTGTGCAAAGAATTTGTCAGCAGGATAACAAGAAAGGAACTTAACATTTACCTTATACCTAATATATAATGCTTTCGCTCAAAATACGAAAATCTCTGACCAATAAAAAAGTTTATAAACAACAGAACAACATCATTAAACATTAAGGTCTTAACATCACCATTACATTACATAAGTTCATGTCTCATTAGTTCTGTTGGTAGCATTAATTTCCTCCTGGAAGTATGACATAATGTTATAAATCGGGCAGAAGAGTAAACAGAAGGGATGCAAATTTGTTGTGCTCCATGAATGAATATTATATCACCAACAGATAAGTTTCCATTATTTTACATCCAGATCTTGTATAATTTAGATCATGACAGAATATCATTTATCAGAAGCACAAATACGTATAGCGATTTAGAAAATGGTACATAAATTAACTTTTGCTATTTTCTAGGGACATTTGCATGGAATGCTTGTACTTGACTTCATGAATATTCATTTACATGGAATGCTTGTTTAACACGTTTATTGCCACGCGAGTTTATAAAAAAATCTCCGTCAAGCGACGAGCGCTGCTATATTATACGGTAATTGTTTCTGATCATAGGAGTTTAGAATGTCTAAAACGAAACGTGTTGGGACATACATTTCGCAAGAACGAACTTCTTTTCCAATTATTTTTTTCTGTAGAGACGAATAGTTAAATTTGTTTGTTTCAAAGTTGTTGCTCTTTTTTATTTCGGAACGTCAAAAGAAACATGGAAGAGTTATTTCTTAGCGAATGATATATCAGTGAAGAAGAAACCTTTTACGAGGCTCACGAAAATTCGGATAGTTGCAATGAAGCACAGCCGGGATTTTTCAGAAAGAGAAATATAAACAGAAATACATCGTCAGATTCTGATTCGGATGCTGATAAATGCAATGATAATGAATGTTATGTAGATACTGTTGATCATATTTTACAAGAATTGTTGATGCCGAAAGTACGATTCGGATTGATGAATGGAATGACTTTAGTTGACGGCAACAATCATTTTCTTTCTTACAGTATACACATAAAAAATGTTAACAAACGTCAGTTCTAAGAATTTATTTTGAAGGCATAAACATTTTTAATATGGTTTAAAATTTTGTAAAAAGCCAATAAATAAAGACAATAAATTTGTAAAAAGACATTAAGAATTTACTATGCTTTCATGACACATCCTGATTCGCCGATTCGTATCACGAGACCCCAAGTGATCTCATCTCACGTAAACTACGCTACAAAAATCTAATTCTCTCGTTAATTATCTACATTAATTTCAAGTGAAATCTTAATTTGGAATACAAGTTTAAATGCAAGAATTATTTCAATTCGTACGAATAGCTTACTCAGAAATTATGTAAAACCGCAGTGCTTTACTTCGCTAGTGCATTCTCAATAGAATTGATGAATTTAACCCTTGACTTTGCCTCTTCTTTATTTTCGCCTTCGGGTGAGCGGTGTGATTGCACTCTAATCGACTTAATTACCGCGAATGGTCTTGGAGCATAAAATTTAACTATCTTGTAAAATTTCTATGTAATTGTATGCCAGTATTAAAAGAAACAATCTATCTGATAAGAAATGGCTGCGACTTGTTTTGAAAATGACGCGTAAAAGGTTACCAGCGAAGATATTTCGTTTGGGCATCAGTTGTACCATTGTTGGCGACTTTATCGTTTGCGCCGGCAAAACGGAAAAGTACCCATAATTGTAAGTTAATTGAATGACTTAATATAGGTAAAAAAAATAAAAGTATTTTGAAAAAATTAAGGTGAAAATGTCAAAAGCACAGTCAAATATATAATTTTACTAACTGTTCTCTTTCAGGTTATCTTTCACATATTCCAGAGCTTCTTTAACACTTTCTTCGGATGTAACATCAAGGGGAACAATGTGTAGTCTGTCGGAAGCAGATTTTTTTAGGGCTTCCGCCCCTTTCCCTTCAGGAAACAAACACCCTGCGAAAACGTGTAAACCTAAGTCGTCCAACTTCTGAGCTAACCCGTTGCCAAAGCCGCTGTCGCAACCTGTAAAGAAAGAAGATCACAGGTAACAAAATGTGAGTTCCGTGTTTTACAATAAAATATGTTAATTAATTATAAAAAGAGCAAAAATTAGTAACAAGAATGAGCATAATGTGTTTAAAAAATGCATGCGTTTCGAAATTTTAATTAACTTATCTTCTTTTCCAGCCGCACTAGTAAAAAAAATTACGATTATTCTTTGTTAATTTTCGTCTATTTTTTAAATTAACTTCATATGGCATTCGTTTTTAGGATTCAGCAAAAGCCAAATTTTTAAATCTGAGAATGTCACCCACGGAGCTTTAGTGGTTAATGGAGACTGACTAATATAGTCGAACTCTCCGTCGCGGGCTTGAATCTCGCGTAAGGCTTGGCTGCTATTGTCTTCCTCCTCTGCTCGAGTGTGCGATATCGGTCTACCTGGTATTATGCACTCTGCATAACATTCTCAATGATGAAGCTGTTAAAAGATCGATGGATTCGGCCACTCCCGATAAGTAGATTTCAAGAATTGCTTCAGAGCAAGTGCCCGGCCATAGCAATAAAATTTATTTCTTAATTTCTGTCCAATAATCCAATTGCCTATTTTTTCTTAGCTTCAAATACGGTATCGAATAGCTAAAAATAAATTTTTACAAACATTTATGTTAACAATATTGGTTTTTACCGTCAATGTAAAACCCGAATTTCGGTTTGATACAGAGATTATAACAGTTATCAGTTACAGTAACAGACAGTTATCACAGAAGGCAGAAGCGAATGAGTTATTTTCTTGTCACGTAAAAAATTTTCCCGTAAGAAATAGCTAAGATTGAAACATGAATTAGCAGTGTACACGTTATTTTCCAATCTTTGTGTCACTATTTGCCAGATGTTTTGTAAATTATGACTGTATTATATAAAATAGGAGAAGAAATTTAGAGATGTCATATATTTATCGATCAATAAGAGCATACTGAGAAACTCTATTGGATACATCAAGTCCACGCTTCATCTTAACATGCGACTGTTCACATGATGCTTATAATAATAATCAAAATACCCGTCATAATAAATGTAATTTAAATAGCTATGCTTCTAAGGTTTTAACTGTTCAGCTAAATATCATCACTAAATGGTCGGGAATCATTGAATGAGCAGATGTAGTAAACGAATCGATTCAATTAACATGTATGATTCTTTCAGCCGTAACATCAGTTAGAATGGAATATATTAATAAATTTATTCTATAGTTTTATAATTAGATCCCTGTTTGACAAGGTCCAACCATAATTAAATATATTCTTTTTAAAAAACGTATTGAAAACCATTACGTCATAGTTGCGCATTTACTGAAAATTAAATACAGAAATTAGTGCAGTAATACAAGGTTTCAGAAACGAATTAAAATTAGAACGAATCTACGAATATGTAAAGATGAAAATTATTTTACTGTTCTTTAAAAATACTATAGTCATCTTTCAGTGATTAGTGAACGAAGTAAGGATATAAGTTAAGTGTATTTCTTATTGAACAAAATACTTAATTTGTTGTAAAATTTCTTGAATAAAATGTATTCGGTTCTTTTGGCTAGTATGATAATTAAAAGGAAACAGGCTGACTAGTGTCTGAGTAGTAAATTTGCTAAACATTGGGAGCTCCAACGTGGGTTAAAATCAGGGCGAATGGGCTGGTTACATGGACGTTCCGGTGGGTTTCCTAATGTATAAAGTGCATTACGAGCCAGTTTCTCTAAAAACATCCTCCGCATCCATCACCTCAAGCAGACAGCTCTGGCGTATTTTGTCATAATCAAATAAACCAAATGATAAAAAGGAAACCGGATAATGACTGATTAGATTTTTAAAACTAACATGAATTAAATTGAATCTCCATTTCTTTCCTTCTATATTTTTCTATATTTCTGTATATTTATTCTAAATTATTCTCTTCTATATTTGTACTTCGGTATCAAAATCCGATTTTGATAGCCTTATAAATGCAATATTTTTTTGGAGTATGTTAATTGAAATATGTCTAGAATCCTCTGCGATTTAATCTAAATGTCTAATATGAGTCAATGTCTTCTGCTGCAATGAATTTGATACATAGCTGCGATTCTGAGACAAATCATATGAGCTCAAAATGGGAGACTTAAGTTCCTTAGGATCAAAGAGACCAAAGAGAACCAAAATGACAATTATTTTTTCTGATTTTTCAAAACAAAGGAACCACACACTGCAGGATTAAGGCTTTTAGAGGCCCTCATAAGCACTTAAACAATTTTGGAGCCCCCCCCCGAAAAAAAAATTATGCTACGTTTTTCTCCATTCGTTTTCTTTCAAGATTTGGTTCACTTGCATCATACATTCCATGGTAAAACAGGCAATGCCAAACTTTTATGGTGCCTCCTTTCCTTCAACGTGTGCTTATTTTGCTTAATAGTTAATCCAGCTACGGTACTAGAAATTCGTTCTTCTCGTTAGCCGGCGTATGTGGAGTTTAACTGTAATGTTGTGAAACGATTTAGAAAGAATAATTTTCTCAAAAGAGCTCACTTATTCAAGAATGGGATATAATATCTTCATCATGACATACAATGACTCAGTAATGCAATGGAATATAAGAAACGTTCAAACATTTAATGATAAAAATTCAACTATTATTCCCAAACTAAATATTTTTTGTTGCTTTCTGTGTCTAAATACCATGATAAATCTCTTAAGAGGAATACTATAGAGTGGCACTAATGAATAAATGAGGTATTTTAAATACATTGTCTTTAAATAGGAAATTATGGAGCACTGTGATACAAATGCTATAAAAAGCCAATTGTAGAAGGCTTTTCTTGCAAGACACCTGAAAGAAGGATTTAAAACCTGAAAAAGATTCATTTTAATGATTAGGAACTACTTTGTTTATACGTGTCGAAGAAATTAAAATTTCTTTTGATACGAGCAAACATATAATTTTTCACTAGAATCGCACAATAACTGAGAAGAAAATAGCTGACCTATTGGATTTAAAATAAAATATTCTTTTGAACTTAATTTTGGATTATTATAAAACAAATTTGTTTAAAAACAAATCACAAACGAAGAGATTCACTGAACACGAATAAAAAAAAGGATCGATAGAAATGTTATTTATAATCCTAAAACCTACTGAGTATATTTAGGATAATTTGCAAAACAAAATTAATGAAGTCAACATTTCCGACAGTAATGTAATTGGAGAAAATCTCACCACGAAATGAAGAACAAAAAAAAATCTCAATCAATATCTTATGACATTCATGTCTAGACGACTAAATGAGCTCATGAAAAGGAAAAAAAAAAGGCTCAATGCATTATTAGAGCAATTTTTAGGTAGAGTTTTTTTAATATGATTATGTGTCCCATTAATTCCTCATTTGTACACGAAAAGTGTAAAATTTAATATTTATTTAATTTTGTTTTAAATTAATTTTAAGTTTTTCGATTTTATTCAGCTCTAAGACATACCATGCAATAAATGTACTTCGTTTAAATTAAATATTTAGTTACTTTCAAAAACAAAATTCTGAAAGCTTATTCAGCCATATGCTCTTTGACTGACTAAAGAATGAAGCTATGGTGTCCTCGAAAAATAAAAGATATTTTATCGGAAATGATATTCGCAATGTTCTGTCATTCCTTCTGTTTCCCAAATTTGATAGTTAAGACTGTCTAGCTAATGTGGAGCAAACATATATCTTTAACCAAGTACTGAGCTAGAAGAGAAATATTATGTAGAAGATTTCAACAATTTTTAATGTAAAACCTTTTGCTTTTTTCACTGTGCATTCACTGCTACTCTAGCAGAACAAAATTCGGTTGTTATGAAACTCGGTGTTTTCTTATAGCCACCCAAGATTTTATTAATCTTAAAGCTAAATTTAGTCAAATTCAAATACGAACTGTTTTCTCTGTTGCTCTTTCTTTAACTGCAATTAATCTGTGTTAATATTTTACTTGTCAAAAATCGCTCTCCTGTTCGATAAGCAAAATATAACCATGCTGGATTTCAGATGACATATAGTTCGTACTTTATTCGTAGTTATATTTTATTTTATTTTTTTTTTACTTTACGTATTTCCGTCGCTAATAATTATTGTTAGTTTTGTTTCTTAGAATTGAGAATAATTTATTTTTAATTTTAGAATATGTCTCTGTTGTAGGCTTATTAAAAATATTTGTTGTTTAAAAGAGATATGTTTTTATTTAAGCTCCAAACCTATTTTCAAACATAAAATGATACTTTAAGAATATCTTTAATAGTCTATTTAGAGTCCATGATATGCTGGGCCTTGATACGAAAATACCGTTTATTTTGACATGTAATCGAAAACCATAAAATTCGCTTTTTAAACAAAACAGATTTTATCAAACTAATTTCAGATTCAAAGAACGCATAAATTAGTTTATTTCAATCAACATTATCGAAAACAGTGTCTTCTCTCACAATCAAAGCCGACTTAATTCAGTAAGAATATAGATGTCGGAGGGCGGTGCCGCATTGATGTTCATTTCACTGTTTTCCCCTACTCCACAAGCTTGACGCTTTCAGGAAAACTGATTCCTCAAATCTCGATGATTTCCTCAAAAACCTGAACCAAAACGCATCAGAAAACCTAAAAGGGAAAATATCTTTGTTTCATGTTCATTTTTTCTGTTTATTCCCAATGACATCATTGCACAGCTGTCGAAACCAATATCACAACACACACGGAAGACGAATAAATAAACTGCAAACTATTCGAAATAAAGTTGCTTCGCGTTATCACTAATGCTTACATTTTCATTGGAAACTCATACAGACTTAAAAGTCTCTGATTAGTGAGCATCTCCGAAATACCAATGGAAAGTTCTTTGCTGAGGCAGCTAACAGTTCTACTGTTAATTACTCATCAGTAATCAATTATTGGAAAAAAAGAAGAAATTAACTGAGATATTTTAGATCTTCTATCGAAAGATCCGAAAACGTATCAAAATACGTTTGATCAA